TTCTTTGCCAATTCACAAATTTTCATTTTTGTATCGAAGTGTTTAATAATCGGTACATTCGTAAAGTCGAATGAGTTAAACGCGTTAGTAACGAATTGTTCGAAAAGTCTAACGAAATAGGAATAATGATGACTTCATTCTCGCTTAACTCGTTCGACTTTACGAACATAACCAATGTTAACTTTACATTCCAAAGATAAAGTTTTTCTTTTCTTGTTTGATGCAGAAGAATTAGTTCTACTTCGTTTGGATGACATAGTAGAGTCTCTCGAGTCTCCGTAGATAAAACAAACACAGAAATAAATAACACAAAATAAATTGTAGCTATGTGTGGATTCCGCGCGACACATCCGAACATGTAAGCTGAACAATAGTGTGGGGGAGTGAGTAATCAAGGGTTGCGTGGCGCTCAAACAAAAGACGAATCGACAAGATTTGAAAATCGCGTAACTCCGGGTTCGCGTAAGTCGGGGTATTACTGTATATAATTTTTGTTAATAGATAAGGTACAATAATCAAGGAATATGACATTCCAATAATAGTTTTACTACTATTTATGATTTATATATTTTTGATGAATAATATATTTTATATTATGACGTATATTATTAATTATATGTGAATAACGATTATATTAAATGTTTTAGTTAGCAGCTTCTTTGATGCCAACTGAAGTAAAACCAGGTGTTGCCATGATGACCGTAACAGGTTTATTAACTGTTAAAAATAATAAATATATTTTAAAGGTAAGAATAGTTTATTAATATTTTCTAGAAAATATAAATGAAATAAATTAGCTTATTTTAATATTAATTATGATACTACTTTAACATTCTTATTATTGTATTATTAAATATAATTTTAGCCTTTGATACAATCAAATCAATCTAAAAAAAGGAAAAATGAAGAAGAATATGGCTATCCTTCCAATTATGCCTGGGGAACATTAGATGTGCCTCATTTTTCCCAAAAATTAACAAAGGTAAATTATAGGAAATTATCTAAATGTTTTCATATGATATTAAAATTTTTCATTTTACTTTCTTCATTACAGTTTACAAATATATTTTTAAATTTTTATTTAAAAAATCTTTTTTTAAAATACATATACAAGTACTTCACTCATTTTTTCAAAACTTTTTGAAGTCCATAGGGTGATCAAGCAAACAGTGGTCCTACCCTACTCATTCATTTTGCTTCTTTCACTCAACATTCATGGAGTTGAGTGCCTCTTGCTTTGTCCAACCCTCTCTTTGCTCTCTCTCCTGCTTAGCTCAATTCACTGCTTGCTCACTCCATGGATTTTACTTATTTGTTCCTAACATAACCTATTCATAATAAGTTTTGTGTTGATTCATTAATCCCTGGTGTTGCCATTTCTATTTTCCCCCCATGACCAGAAAAGTGTTGTGATGATTTTAAGCTGAGAATTTTATGTATAAAGAGTAGATACATATATTAATTCAATAAATTTATATTTGAATAATGGATTTATACAGTATTTTCAATAAAATTTATTTTAATATGGTAACTACATGTTTATCAAAAGAGGAAAAAATGTTGAGCCTTGACTAGAAAGAACTTATATTCTTTGATAACAGTGAATGCTGACTATGTAAATTTCAGTTTTGGGTGGTTAAGTAATGAAATTGTAATATAATCATTAATAAATAGTAATTAATAATGTCTATAGATAATGCATATCATTCTTTCATCTTACGAGAAACAACTTTTGATATTATATTCACTTTTTCAATAACCGTATTTTCTTTGAAATGCCACCTTGTTTTAAGTTATGAAAACTTTTTTAGATAATAATGATTACTTAAATTGTCTGTATTATTTCAAATTAGTTAATAATTTTTTCTAAATTGAATCACTATTTAATTAATAAGAGAAATTAATAAATTTTTTTATTGGCATTTGAATGAATAATCAAGTAAAACTTTGAAAAATATTTACATATATTATGGTTTGTTCAGTATAACAAAATTCATTGTAATGAATAATAATTTTAGCAATTGTCAGAATCTCTTATATTGCCTTTCACTGTACTTAACTACTAAGTAGATATTTCTCAAAGGTTATGAATGATATTTCTTACAGGATTACATAACTTATTTCTATGTACATGTTTAGTTTTTTTCTTAAAATAGAAATGTTTGGTTTTGTATAAACTTTTAAATGTACAGTACATGATATGACCAAATAGTTCCTTGTCTTGGATAGTTGTTAATGTCAATGTGCAGCCACCTTTGAAGTTATCCCCAAGATCAAAAATACACTTCTGCTAGCATTTTTACAGCTTCCAGAAACATTGCTGCAAACCATCTATTGCAACCACCCACAATGCCTCCTATGATGGTACTTTCACCTCATTTGATGACTCAAAATTATCTCGGGCTATTTTTGACAGATGGATTAAACTAAATATCACATTTTATGTCCAGATATTTGGTGTTTGTGTGAGTCTACCTGTTGTAAAAGGCTTGAGATTGTTTTGACGTCATTTTGAGTTATCAAATGAGGTAAAAGCAACACAGTTTGATTGTAATATTTCTTACTACAATTATTCATTGGACAATGCTAAAATAATGATTTCTCATTTATATGAATTGTTTCTTTAGGCTGGATTTGCAGATGTAAAACTTGAAGAAAGTCCTAATGGCTATATTGTTCATATGGTGAGTAATACAATACATTTTTTTTTCTTATAACTAGACTTTCATAATTATGATTTAATTAATTAGAGAAAATAAAGGTTTTATTAGACATGAATTAGTTCTTTGCATTTTGTAATAGTTATCCAGTTATATAGACTGATAAAAAAAATTTCAACAAACCAAATTCTTCATTTATTAAAATGTGTAAAACTAGAATTTTTAGAAAATATTTGTAATATGGACTTAATTTATTAATTTGACGGCTGTGTGTTCAAACAAGCTTACATGGGAACTTTATCCAACAGCGAATAATCTGCATCATCTAAAATATTGCATTGTTGCAGAAGTTTTTGGAATTTTCTAGAGTCTCATTGCACAATATTTATTTAAAAAAAAAAAAAATTATTGCCATTAAGTTGAACTACCATCGTCCATTGATTGACAGATTCACGGATTCTTGCTGAATAAAACTTGGGCTGTTTTGAATTTTAGAATTCTGCAAGTGCAATTTTCATCTCGTCATCATCAGCAAACTGCTTTCAATCCAAAAAGTGTTGCATGGAGTGGAAGAGATGGTGATTGGATGATGCAACATCTGTGCTATACAATGGGATGAGGGAAAACCTCCAAGCTGAGATCAAGCAGCGTCTGCTTGGTCTCAGCTTGATATGTGTGTTCTTGCATTGTCATGAAGAAAGCATACAGTGTTCATCTGTGGACAAACTATGGTGACTGTCACAAAAAAGTATCTTGCTCATTTCTCTTGGTTGGTTGCCACAGCCTGTCATCCAATAGGATGGAAGTCTTTCCAGAGCATGGCTTATCTTTGACTTTATATTGCTTGCGTTTAAATTTACTGAACCAGTTGTAGATTGGAGAAGACATTCTTGCCAAATGATTGCACCAAGCAGTGATAATATTCAGTTATTTTTATATCAAATTGGTAAAGTACATGTGTGAATTTGGTCACAAGAAAGTATTGGAAAACTTGACATTTAAAAAGTTGGTATTGCCAAATAGAATGGAATTTATATACTCCACAACAAACTTCTAGATGCCATCTGTCCAATCTGTCAAAGAACAATTTTGAATATCCTAGAGAGGTCTAGAAAATTTCAGAAACTTTTGCATCAATGCAATATATTTATTTATTACGAATCATATTTCCATATAGGTCTGTGATGTAATTGCCAAATTAAAAATTATCTTCAACTTCCTGGAAAGACCAACACCAAAGAAATAACTTTCTTATCAGTTGTTGTAAACCTGCCTTCAGAATATTATAAAATCATCAGTAAGTCATTTCATTTGTATAAAAATCCAGCAACGAGTTGCTTAACTTTCCCAGCAACATTTGAAACTGCATGTGAGTTGCCATAATTAGAATCATCATCATTAACATTTAGAACATCAGATCATTTTAAATTCAAAATTATGAAACAAGGTTTTTAACATTACATTAACCCCAACGATATTAAGTAATAAAATTAATGAAAGTGCCGATTGAATTTTAAAGTTTTGTCTTGTTTTAGTGTGAATCAAGTGTATTTCTTGTATATATTTCCTGGCATGTTTCATATTCATATTTTAAGTGTAGTCCAGTGGAGAAAACAAGGTTTCTTTCTCTATTTGTCTGCTTATGAAAGAGGTAAACATGAAAGTAGATAATAGATAAATTAATATTACAATGAAAATCTCTTTGTTAGAAACTAAAATTAGAAAGGTTAAAAAATTTTGGGACTATCTGACAATTACATCTCTAGTTTTCTCATATTGAGAAATATTTAATACTTTTATTTGTCACTGTAT